CCTTTAGATTAGTTGTATATGTAGGATCTGATCATCTCATTTCCGTTACTTTCAACACCAAATGAAGAAAGATAAAAGAATACCTGACCGTCGTACTTGGACTGAGGCCACCGGACGCCAGCATCATAACCACACAAATCTTAGTACGAACAAAAGGTAGAAGACAATGCACCAAATTTTCATCAGCAGTTAGCACAACGGTTTTGGAAAGAAATTACAGCTTCCAGAATGTGAACAGATAGGTGAAAAAGTGGAAATTACACCAGATATCCTTCTCATTAATCATCATGACATGTTTGACAGAAGGGAAAGAATTATTAGGACCGCTGCTGACTTTTCATATCATGACTCATTATTGAACGTTGGGACAACGGATCTATGCCTCAGCCTCACCAGCTCATTTCAGAGCCAAAGGGAATGGAAATCGGGAGGCCGCCGGCGACGAAGTCTGTGTCAATCGGTAGCACCAATGCCTATCGCCTGAGCTGTTTGACCGTTTATTTTGGTCCATCGACCAATCTGGTGACGGCGATAGGTACGTCATCAATTTATTACTCCGAACCACCTCACAAAAGAGTAGATTTCATTCAAGTCCATAGCTAGTATAAGTAAGGTGTAAGGTCGTCTTTTTCAACGGCCTCCTACCCAAAATTTAGTCAGTCTACTGACCAAATATCGTGGCCTACCTTTGGTCTTCTGCATTAAAGCACTTAGGTGAACCACTTTCTTCCTCTTTTCAACACAATTCTTGCACTAATTTCTTATTTACGTTCATTAGAAGTTTCTTTTGTACTGCGAATATTCTTCTGTTTCTTCGGACATAATACCTACTAACACTCTCTTGGCATTTTCGTTAATGAGAACAGAAGAAGCTTGCAAACTTTTTACCCAGATGGCTGTTTCGATTACAGGTTACAATAATGCACTTTCTCCGTCCCACTTTAACAATCCTGTTTTCCTATTTCGTCTGTCTCAAATTATAGTTCATTCTCTAATTAATTGAAAAATATAATTATTTTTTAATTTTTTTAAAAAAATATCTTTATAATTCAACGTAAATAGATTGTTATTAATATAAACTACCTTATTATTTAATATAGTAAGTTATTATTAGTGCGAACTACCTTATTATATTTAATGTAATGCAGGAGTATTAGTTTCGATAGTACAATCTTGGTTCTGACTTTTCCAATATAACGTGTAGGATATCGCAACCCCTTCTTGTTTCCAGACACAAACTAATGATTTTACTTTTGACGCGATCTTGGTTCTGACTTTTTTCGAAATTTGCGTGTAGGATATCGTAATCCCTTCTTGTTTCCACACACAAAATAATGAAAATGATGGTAGTGATAAAGCAGTCAGGTCATATATACACAATTCGACAAGGCAGAGTGCGAAAGTCGTAGTCGTTGGAAAATTCTCCAAATTGGAATCTATCCAAGGCCGGGACAGTGTAACAAATTGGAATCTACCGTCCCCCAGCTGCATAAATTTTCAAAATTTGGACTAATCAACAAATGCCAAGTTCCTTAATTATCAAGATTCCCTTTAATACACAGTCATTAGTTAATTCTGTGATTGATTTTGTCATCTAGTGGGAGCATATTAGTCATTTCACAGCAGGGAAAAAAAACCCGGGAAGTCTTAAAATACCGGAAACACCAACCACTCTCCTTTGAAAGCGTCATCTAAACCAAAAAAAGCCACACACGGTCCACGACGCGGGAGGCATTTACAGTACTCAGCAATGCCCGAATTTAACCAAAATCTACATCCGAACTCATTCGAGCTCTGTTCAATCTGGTTCAAGACATCACATTCATGGCCGCAACTCTTTGTCCATCAAAAATTCTTTATTCATTCTTGCTCATCATCCTTTCTTCCATCCCTCAATCTTCATCCCAATCTGCTTCTCCTCAGAACTTAGAGACTTTCTTTCCATTTCCTCTTACACCGCCACAAAATCAGCCGGTTTTGCCACCGACCAGCCCGGTATCACCGCCGCCGCTGCTTCCACAGCCTCTACCAGCAACGCCAGCAAGCTCACCATCAACATCCAAGAAGACAGTTGGAGCTGCAGTAGGCATAACGGCAGCAAGTACTTTGGTTTTATCAGGGCTGCTCTTCTTTTTATTCCTTCGATACTCGAGGCGTAAGAAGGATGAAACTACTTCTAATCCATATGCAGCCAGCCCTGTTATGCCACAAAATGGATTCACGAGGTTTAATGGAAATCTTAAGGGTGTGATAGTCGACGAAGATGGGTTGGATGTGATTTACTGGAGAGACTTGGAAGGGGAAGATGGCAACAAGGGATTTGGAAAGCAGGTTCCCAAGAATTTAAAGGCAGAAGAAAAGAATGTAATCGCTAAAGATGATCACAAGAAATATGTTCCGCCTGGCACAGAGGTCCCTTTGCTTAGAGGAAAGTCTTCAACCTCCCAGAGTCCTCTTTGGAATGATACAAGTCAAGATAGTGCTTCAACACCCTATGGCGGGGTTTCTCTCATGGCAGTTGGTAAACAGGACTCATCAATTCAACTCGGACCACGTACAAAGCCAATACCATCAGCACCAGAGCCAGCTCCTCCTCCTCCACCACCACCAGCTCCTCCTCCTCCTCCACCACCACCACCACCTACAGTAGCAGCAGCAGCACTGCCACTGGCCGCAGGGGCTGTTCTAAAGGGAAAAGGTCCTTTACAGCCTCCCCCTCCGCCAATCCCTCCTCGGAAGGGTCCTACTCCCCCACCCCCACCACTACCTAAGGCGAGCAGCTTGGGTTCTGTATCAAAACCCCCTCCAATTTCGAAAGGATTCGCAACCGATAGTAAAATGAAGCAGCCCTCAACAGGAGAAGGCGATGGACAAGTGAAACTGAAGCCGTTACATTGGGATAAGGTGAATCGAAATGTTGATCATTCCATGGTGTGGGACAACATTGAGGGTGGCTCCTTCAAGTAAGGATCAATTATCTTTCTAATAGTGCCAACATTTTAATGGACCAACTTATCTAGTGGATATCAATTTAACCTTGTCTCCGTGCTATATTCAATTTCAGGGTTGATGGTGATCTCATGGAAGCCCTCTTCGGATATGTTGCAACCAACAGAAAGTCTCCTCGAAGTAATGAATCAACCCCAAAGGGAGATAAGCAAGGTCCATCCCCTCAGGTTTTCATCCTTGACACAAGGAAGTCCCAAAATACAGCAATTGTGCTCAGGTCTCTTGCCATTTCGCGCAAAGAGATTATTGATGCTCTCGTGCAGGGAGAAGATTTAAATCTGGAAACTCTAGAGAAGCTCACAAGAATTGCTCCAACAAAAGAAGAGGAATCAGAAATTCTTGCATTTGATGGAGATCCTACAAGACTAGCTGATGCTGAATCTTTCCTATACCATCTCCTTAAATCTGTTCCATCAGCTTTTACTCGATTCAATGCAATGCTTTTCAAATCAAACTTTAAGTCGGAGACTCCTCACCTCAAGGAGTCTTTTCAAACACTTGATTTGGCGTGCAAGGAGCTACGTGCTAGAGGACTTCTATTGAAACTTTTGGAAGCTATCCTTAAGGCCGGTAATCGAATGAATGCAGGGACTTCGAGGGGGAATGCTCAAGCCTTTAATCTCACAGCTCTGAGGAAGCTTTCTGATGTGAAAAGCACTGACGGGAAAACTACATTGCTCCACTTTGTGGTGGAAGAAGTAGTGAGGGCAGAGGGAAAACGTTGTGTTCTTAACCGTATGAACCGAAACAGTAGCCAAAGCAGCAGCACTGACAGCTCAGGTCGCGAAAATTCTCAATCAAGAGAAGAGAGAGAGAAGGAATATATAATGCTCGGTTTGCCAATTGTAGGTGGTCTCAGTGCTGAGTTCTCCAATGTGAAGAAAGCAGCGACCATCGACTATGATGGCCTTGTTAAAACCTCTGCAGCATTAGCAGCTCAAATAGCTGAAATTAGGAAACATGTGCAAGAATGTGACAGAGATGGAGGAGGATTTGCAAAAGAGATGAAAACTTTCCTACATGCAGCCGAAGAAGAACTCAGAAACATAAGAGAAGAGCAGAGCAGAGTGATGGAACACGTGAAGAGAACAACGGAATACTTTCAAGCAGGGGCATCGAAGGATAAGGGGTGGCAGCCACTTCAAATTTTTGTTATAGTTACAGATTTTCTTGGAATGGTGGATAAAGCTTGTGTCGATATTACTAAAAGCCTGCAGAAGGGAAAACCTGCATCAGCTACTAGTGCTGGATCATCGTCCCCTGAATCTCCAAAGACTAGGCCATCTGTTAAGTTTCCAAAATTGCCTGCTAATTTTTTGTCATCTAAAGAGCAGTTCTAGTGATTCAGACGGTGATTGAATAAGCCTTTGAAAAGTTCAAGGAGGATCCAGTTCTGTACATAGTGCATTGACAAACGGACAGCAGGAAGGCACAAGTACATTTAACCATTTATCAGGGAAGTTTCTTCAAATGTGAGATTCTTTTCCATTCGTGTCTTGAATCTTGGTTTCTAGCTAGGAATTCATTTTTTATGATAACAATCATTTGATCCATTTTATTAAGTAAGATTGTCGACAAGGATATGGAGCTTTCCATTTTTCATCGACTTGCCTTTGGTGTGGCTGCAGCCATAGAGCCAGTAAAATGGTGGCATCAGCCATCAAGGGAGACGTTTATTTGTTATTTTTTGTTCCTGCAGAAGGGAAATCCATAGTGTAGTCTGGAATACCTCCTGTGTCTGCTACTTGATTCAGAACAGTGTTTGTATATACCGAAAGATGGAAATAAGAGGAATAGGGTCTCGAATGAGAAATCTGCAATACGAAATTCATCTGACAGGATTAATCCAATTCTGTAACTTAAAGGAAGAAAAGGGAAAACAACAAGGTGAAGGTGCGACCTACGCTTCAATGCTGCAAGTCCCTTTTTTTTTTTTTTTGGGGGCCGCCAAGGGAAAACTTCAAATGTTACACGCCAGGAAATGAGGAACTTTGAAGCTTTTTTGCAAGAATGAATTCCAATTAGAACTATACTTTAATCACTACAGGATTTCGAAAATTGTATAAGAACGAGTTATTCTGGACAAAACAGCCTCTACATCTATCTCTGTACAATTCCTAAACAGCAGCAATACAATACATGTAGTAGCGATACAAACTAAATAGTTTCCCGTCTCCATTTAGTCTGACCAGCATCACCTTTTATCATAAATCCTAGCTGCTGTTTGCATACAGAAAATTGCATTCACTGCCACTGAAAGAGAGCACGCCACAAAAAAATGCTTCACCTCTTCGATGTAGGTCGATGAACAGTCTTACTCTTCTCCTGAAAATTTATCATTGTGTCGAAGAAAGGGAGTGGTGCTTCAGTTCAGCAATTTATGACAGAAAAAAGGAAAATATAGTAACATTTGCTACACGCATAGCTATCCCCCAAAAGTAGGAATCAATTACTCAATCCTTCTCCTCTTATTCAGTTTCAACAGCCTCCCAAGTTGTACAAGGTGCGTCTATCAACCAGAAATCCCACAACCAATAGTTTGGGGGAACGTATTGACACCATAACTTCTATTATACGTCAAACTCAATTCCAAGCAAGCCTATAACTTTTAATAGCACGGTATACTTAAACTTAAAATCCACACTGTATATTAAATTACCAATCTCTCTGCACAGAGCTGAAAGTACCTTTTGGTGGAAAAAATTGCCCCCCTCTTGGTCTGAACCATACATCTATGATGTTTATGGAAAATATCATGTAAACCTAATCTTTGGCAACGAGTTGGCTAAGTAGTTAGTGTTTGCATTTCTCCAAACCTATAATCTCATCTTCTCATCGCTATTTTTATCTGGAAACTTCCCCTTGCTACCTCTGAAACAATTCCCCTTCTTCCCATAAATTTTCCTAACTACCCTTCTTCCCCATTTTATCACATGACATAAAATTGAAAAGCAAACATAGATGAGAACAGGGAATTTTGTTGTTGTTCTTGTCATTCTCCGGGGAAAATAGGAAAAGGACTACAGCCTAAACAGATTCACCAAAATTTGTACACTAACGCAAAATCAAAGCAGCAAAGACAGAGAAGAGGCGCAGCCCTTCACTCCCTAGGGGATCGACATGGGCACCTGGCAATCATTGATACCAGGGACAAAGATGAATATAGGTTAGGTTACATATTCAAGAAGAAAGACATAAAAAAGACAATGGTTCTTTTAGACATCATCCAAAAAATGCAGAGAAAGTCCTTTACAGCCACTCTAAATATCCGAACCAAGACTCTCTAAAATATATGAGCAGTGTGTCTTCTTCCATACCTCCTCCTTATCCTTTTGGGAGAGCCCAGAACTTACCTACTTTACCTTTGAAGTGAAAAATGAAATTCTGACCCAAATTTCATACCGATATCAACTAAGCCACCCTTTCCCATTGTACGCTCTTAAATCATCTTGATTTGCACCATAGTTCTAGTATTTCATGTCTTATTCATTAGAATTATACACTAAAAGAACAGGAAACAAAAGGCTAAAGCGACAAAGAGAAGTCAAGCTCTTCCAAATTACCTTTACTGAGGGAGTCCAGGCACTTCCTTGCCCCCTGTAAGAAACTGGCGCAAGACTGGCCTTGGATCTCAGTCCTTGTCCAGTATTTTTCACTAGGGCCTCCTCCTAAATCAAGTATGTCTTGTTGAGTTATTGTTCACATGTATTTAAAGCAAATAAATCAAGTGATGCTCAAAAAATGAGAAGAAGCATTCGCTTTAATTAGAAACTTAGGTCTACCTTTGTTTTAGAGCTAGAATGTGGTCTTTCAGCCTCTCTGACAAATGACTTTTCCCCAGGTTTCTTCAAAAACATCAGCAAATAAATAAAACACATTGCTCAATGGACACCAATAATGGAAGATGAAAATCATAATTGCTTATTGTGAAAATAATTGTGAATATACATGTGAACTGTGAACAAATTTGGGCTTTAATCCATACCTCTTTCCATTTTTCAGCTCTGGCATCATGTCTCACATTGGTTGAAGATGAGACGGTTGTCACACCATTTTTGTCTACTCCTGAATCTCTAGTAGACCTGTTTATGACAGAGGTTATAATGAAATTCCAAGAAGGGAAACAAAAGCAAAATGGGACCAGACATTGAAAAGATATTTTATGGGAGCATTTATAGAGGTATAGAAAATATTCCTAAAGAAGTTGGACGGCCAAGCATCACTCCACCCAGGACCAGTTGCATAGAATTGTTAGAATTGTGAAGTAGGAGAGGGTGAAGAGGCTAGAAGCATGATCAATTGATAATGTTCGTACCCTCAAACTTCACCGATCAATAGTTTGTATGGGGGCACAGCTGCAGTTTTTATTTCACCAAAGGGTCAAAGCCACAAACTCTCTAGCATGTCCATCTCAATCCAGCTAAATCCTATAGTAGATCATCCTTAATCTTGTTTAATCTATCTTACCTTGTCTGTACCTAATTTTACTACTCAATTTAAAACAATAAATTTGGAAGTGTTTTTGCAGAATATAACATAGTAACAGGTACTTCAAGTAATCATAGTCTTTATAAATATCCACAGAAGCAATGACAGGAAAGGAAGATATGAGATGGTATGTTAAATTTAAACCACATCAAACAATTACAACCACGAATTCTTGTAAATTCTAATTGCAACCTAGCTGTTCACAAGAAAAAAGCCACATGTACCACAGAACATGGAACAAGGGCAGTTAAGAACGCAGCCAAGATACAACGTTGTTTGTATCCATGTAACAAAAGGGCAGCCAGAAAAAGTAGTCATAAAAACTGAGGAATGGTCAGAAATGCAATTTAACACTAAGCACTCAAACTGAGAGCAAATGAGCACGGCATCTTACCAGGATGACACAAGATTTGAGGTGATCCCTGGCCGACCTCTTTGAATAGTCTTCTCTGCAGACTTCCTCAGTCTACAATCAAAGGCAAAAAGAAAAACATTCACTAACCAGATTGAAACTTAAATAGCTCACAACTCTCCAGCGAATGGCAGATTAATTGACATGAATACTAATGAATGTCAATAGAGATAGTAAAAATGCATGAAAAAAGTAGAGATATAAACACCATTGGAGGAAATTAAGGAATCTGCTATCTATGTTTTAGCTAGAAAGCATGATAAAGAATTACCCTTCATTCTCCTTTTGAGGAGTCATAGTAGAAATTTCCTTCACAGGACCCTTATATGACACCTGCCAAAACATATAAAATCAATATTCTATGTAACACACAAGTAAGCAAAACTGAAAAGGTGAAAATCACTCATATGTCTGCGTCATTGCATAGGCTAATATGTCTGTTAAACAAAAAGACTAGCATACTGTATCTATATGAAACAAAAAGATTAGCACGCAGTAAGCAGATCTGTTTCATTCTCTTTTGGGATAACGAAAATAAACTATTGCACCCAGATATCATAAATGACAAACCTGCTTGGACCAACTGGATAACCCATCATTTGGAGATTTTAATTCATTGTAACTATTTTGAAATGTCTTAAATGCCCGCCGAACAATGTCCTTATCCCCCATGCTCTCCATAATCAAGGATTTTCTGGTTGTAGTAAGAGAAGGCCCAGAACTTCTTGGATCCAAACTGAGAGACATATGAAGAGATGCCGGCATTGTTCCCCTTTTTTCTCCAGGAGTATTCTTGGCCCTTGGCAATGATGACCCACTGACTTTCTTTGTTGTGGATATAGACGCAGGTATCATTGTCGATTTTGACAATTTCGGAGTAGAGAGTTGTGGCAACTTGGTAACTGGTGAAGTTCTGGTTGCAGGTGACACTACTTTCTTTTTTGACCCAGCCGAGGTCTGCTCCTTTCGACTTGAAGTCATCTACAAAAAACATGGATTAGTTTCAATATACCAAATTTAGCTTCAATGGAAGTTCAACAAAATTGAAGGACTTAAAAATAGCCATAAGTAGCACTTTTCAATCCTCACCTTCTGAGAGACATTTCCTGAATATAACCTTGGGCCCTTGCTTTTGTTTAGTGGGGCTTTCTTGACCTTATGATCCACCTTCGAAAAAGGTTCTTCCACGACTTCCAGTGAGCCGTTCTGAGAAATATCTGCTTCAGCCAATACTGCTTCTCCTCCAGTGACTTCAGGTTTAGCTTCATTACCTATCAGTTCTTCATTGCCTGTTTCTACATCAATTGTTTCAGGGTTCTCAGTAGTTCCATTCAACTCTTCCATAGCTTCCTCAACTACTAAGCCTTGACAATCTACACCTACAGAAACATGCTCCTTTTCCACCTCAACAGTTGTGCTATTTGATCTATCCGTCCCAGCAACATCTGGCTCAACATCTGCAGCTGAGGTCCCGCCACCAGATAAACCAGATTCACCATTAGCTACAGCTGTGTGTTTGACAGGATCCTTGCTGCTTGGTTCACGTGGACTTGGAGGGACGGATTCCATTAACTTTTCCAGCTCTAATTGCTCAGTCTTTCGAGCAGCAATTTTCTTGTAATGAGCTTCAAAATATGCCTTCTTTTGAGCAACTGATCCAGGAGTAGAACACTTCTCAACTTCTTCCAAATACTTATTTGGTGAAAAAGAAGACCACTTTTCCCAAGAAAGTGAATCACTCTCGAACCTACCAAAGGATACTGATACTTGAAGAGACGCAGAAGAGGACACAGATTCACCCATCTGATTGTTACAACACAAAATCATTACTTCAAACTAAAACGGTTGAAACAAACTTAGATGATAACTCCATCTTGCAATTATGAATGAGAAATCTACCAAAATCTTTAATAAGGAAAAAAAAAAAAAGAAAAGGGAAAAAATTTAAAGCGCAGGAATTAGCAACACAATTACTCAATTGGGGCCATCTTCAATTGATCATCATAGGACAAAAGTTTTTACCTTTTTCTCAAAAGTTGGTCTTTCAATAACTGACTCACCCATCACTTCTCTAATACCAGTGAAGAATGACCCCAATTCTGGCAGAACAAGGTAATGGATTTGCTAACCTAGGCCTGAGAAAAAGCATGGGCAAATTGTGGCTACAGCCAACTGAACCATACCGAAGTGAGCAACCAGAATAAGCAAATCATAATGAAGACAAAAAGAAGACCAGAAAAATTGCAGCCAATTCAGACAGGTCATGTGCCGAGCTTCTACTATTTTGTTTTTGACTAAAGATTATCGACTGAAAATTTTACAGTTAGGAAAATTCTTGTCTGTTTCTGGGACTTCTAGATATCTCCTACAATGATCACCTTAATCACTAACCATGAGTACAAAAGTTGTTGTGACTTTTCACAACAATGGGTCTTTCAAGAAACTTTTTCAAGTTAAAAACAGTTGAAAAAGTAGCAATTTTTGCTGTGCATCACATTGTAAAAGGAAAATTAAGGTTGAAGACTAAAACATTCACCAAATATTTAAATGGGCTTCTTTAGTTTAAACACTATCGGACAAAAGTTTGGAGATTAAACGACACAGAGTGGACTAATAATTCACTGATTGAAAAGAAAAAAAAAAGTGAAAGAACAGGAAAAAGAAGACTACAGCATGTTGTTTACCTGGGGTCTTAGTAGATTTTTTTTCCTTTTTTTTTTTTGTCTCCTAAAGACTGGAAACCCAAGTGGGGATGGAGGAGTTTGGTGATGATGAGCGGTTGATTGAATCGGGCACTTTGATGAGTTTGACGATGGGGATGGGGTACAAGGCCCACTGGCTGGAAGTGTTGTGTGAATTGTGATAGTACATGTACATATTTGCAGTGGGCAAAACTGGGAGTTGAAGGGAAAGACAGGAACAGGATGAGCGAAAGTGTGGGCACGTGACAGTCCTGTTGATCCACAATTATGTTGGTAACTAACATGGGACACGTGTGGACCCTCTGTATTTATTTAATTTAATTAATTGATCAGAAATTTGTTCAGTAATCAATTACAAAATTGCATTTATTCTCAAGAAGAAAAAAAAAAGACATTAAAAATCAAAAATCAAAATTATGCCGTGAGGGATATGTTTAATTTAACCAACTCCTAAGAAGTAATTCTCCCGAGCCAACAACCATTTGATCTCTTGGCCACAACTGGAGAAGTAATTCTCCTAAGCCAACACCCATTCTCTCTCTCTCTCTCTTTTTTTTTTTTTTTTTTTTTGCTGTCACATTTAAATTGATTATCACTAGGTGGAAAAGGCACACCTAATTTCTGTCCTAACTCAAAGAAAAATGTAAGGAAAAAAAAAAAAGATGTAAAGTTATTGAAAGTATCACTGGTCCTTGATTTATCCTTTGTATATTTGCAACAACATCCCATCAAGTGTGAAAAAAAAGGAGTAATAAATGTTCAAGAAATAAATGTTGTAGAGACTTTTCTCCATGATAAACTATACCATAATTTCCTTCAAAAAAAAAAAATTTATACCCTGATGTATCACACCAACAACTATAAATAACACACACACACTATCTAAGAAAAACCCACAACCAATCCAAAAGATATGCTGACTTTCAGACTACAATGAGAACCTTAAATATGCCATGATGTATCAACGTTACGCTTTTACAAGCATATGGATTAATCAATTGACTGCTTCCAAGTTGCTAACCGCGTTCACTGTCATTGTTATATATATTTAGATCACTGTCAAGAGCCATATACTTCTGGGTCTGTTTATCCTCTTTGATGGGCCAAGACTGACTTAGAAGACAGGGAAGCATGTGGCTAATGGATACACTTGGGCCCTACTGAACAATTTCCTGAGCGAATGCACTTATAGCTCCTCAGTGAACATCAGGAACTGGCCAAGGTGGTGTGGGAGGTCAAGGATTCAAGCCTTACCTCCCACAAAATTTGTCACAAAATGTAACGATTTTCATTGACTAGTTTCGACGGAGTTTCTACTCACATCGAGTCTCCTCCCCTTTCCTCTTAGAATAAGCTAGTTTAGGTTATAAAAATTCTATCGTATCGATAAAAAAAAAAAGTGAACATCAGGAACCGAAAAGCAAAAATTCATTTCAGTCAGCAACGCAACCAATGAAATTTTTTTTTTGCCCTCCTCCTTGGGGACTCAGGTAATCAGTCCCACTCTGTCAATGCCCAATTGAAAACCTTCTTCAGAGTATCCCATGCATCCTTTTTTTGCCTGATTAAAACCAATCAAAGCAAAGATGAATTAATTCACTAGTCGAACCGGGTGTTCAAATTTTGTTATTTGCACTCTCATCATTTGTTATATCATATATAATCTATCTAATAAATAAAAATTATATAATAAAAATGATGGTTGGAATGCAAATAACAAAAAATGAAGCGAGGATAACATCTTCCTTTTATGGATAAAGATATATCTATGGTCAAAATCACTCGCTGTCATTGCTTTCTTTTCCTAGAAACTGGAATATGCTCAGAAGCTACTCAATCTCTTCCCCAAGGCAGGATACGTGTCCGATTAACAAGTAAACAGTAGTGTATATAAACACAATAATAATGTCACTCGTTTGTCAGACGGGCAGTTCTCCATCGCATAGCAACAAGTGTAAACTTCCTGTTCGTTTCAAGCGAGGAATTCAGCATGAAAATCAGCTTTGTTCTTCTTCAACTAATTTCGGGCCCAATTTTTCTTTTGGCCTTTGTCCGTTCCGACCCAGATCCGCTTCAAGACTATTGCGTCGCATCCGCAGAAAATCCTCCCAACTTCTATGGTAATGGGGTGCCATGCATCAATCCGGACCAAGCAATTGCTTCCCATTTTGCGACGTCTGCTCTATCAACACCCGGTAATACTCACAATGAGTTCGGCTTCAGCACTTCTCTAACCAACCCTAACAATTTGCGGGGGCTCAATACTTTGGGCTTAGCCATGGCCCGACTGGATATTGCACCTGATGCTCTGCTGCCCCTGCATTCACATCCAAGGGCCTCGGAAGTGACCATTTTGCTAAAGGGCTCCCTCTTTGCGGGCTTTGTCGATGCTTCTAATCACCTGTTCACTAGACAATTACGCCCCGGTGATTGTTTTGTATTTCCAAAAGGGCTAATCCATTATCTCTACAACATGGACAAAGAGGAAGCAGCATTAGCGATTTCCGGGTTCAGCAGCCAAAACCCCGGTCTACAAATCTCATCATCTGCCTCATTCACATCAAATCCAGGAATCCCTGATGAAGTTCTTGAGAAAACATTTAAGATACACGGTCCTGATGTGGCTAAGATTAGGAGGAGCCTTGGAGGATGACTTGGCTTTTAATCTAATGCTTCTAGAAATTGTTTGCTTTTGAAGCTTTATTTTGGGTGGTTGGGGATTGAAAAGTGCAGGTTAGGTATTTGGATATTTTTTTTAAAAAAGGACTTCCCAACTACGGCTGTACAATCATATACGGGTACATCTTTTAGATTGCCACTTTCCATGTGTCGCATATGTATAGAAAAGCTTTTTTTGATTCCACTCATCAAATCATCATGGTCCAGTGGCTATCTTCGTATTGGTAAATTCTGGAATTTGGCCTTGCAGCGTACCCGCCAATGGGACAAAAATTGGGGCCTATATTCTTTCTTTCTTTCTTTTTATTGGAGTATTAATTACTGATTTTGTTATACTGTAGTAGTAGTAAATAAATTTGTGGAGATGGACTCAAATTAGCCTCTTTGTTTTGTGGGAGAATTTCATGGTGACGCCTAATGATGGAGTCTATTTTTTTTTGGTTATCAAGGAGAGCTAAGCAGCTCAAAACATAGATACTAAACGCGGGTTGATTATTCCCGTAATATTCAAGTTCATCCATAACCGAACTATATCCGGTGGAGTCTAGTCTATTTATTTGCGGGCGAAGAAAAGTGATTTTTCAGCTGTCTTCGTCTATTCGTTAGTCGGGATGACTAAGCTTCCTGTGTAGAAGTTTCAGTAGCCGCTGATCGTTGACCAGAAATCATAGGAGAACCTTCTTAACAAGGAACAATGATGTGTCAACTTATCAATTTAAGACACCAATCGATGTGGGTTATCAACAGGGTGCGAAAAATCCAAAAAAAGTTTGCCAATGATACACAATTAGACTCGTGGCAAAGGACTAAAAGGCCTCCGGCCAAGTTTTCACTTTTTAACTGTGTGCGGGCTTTTGAGGTTGCTAGCGAAATAAATTTAAAAAACAAATTCGAAAAGGTTGCAATAGTATATAGTTGTTTTTTTTTTTTTTGGTAATATGATAGGGATTAAGTTTTTATTACGCTAATAATTATGAACGTATGGTACATGTACAAAAATTAAATTTCACAACTGTGAACGTATTCCATATGCATATATATATATATATATATATATATATATATATATATATATAGGTGTAGTGGGACAAATCCACGCATGACACGTGTCAGCTCGGTAGATTACACACGTCAGTTCGGCGTTAGGGACTACGCAGCTCGCACATGCCAGCTCGGCAGGAGGCAGCCAGCTCGGCCGTTTCAATGGCCCCTGTGCTGGGCCTTGTGGGCCGCCGCCTCCGAACTTTCAGGAGCCGTCATGCGAAGCCCTAAAAAGACTCCGAACCCTAAGGGGACTTTGACTCCCATAAGGAAATTACAACCTATTCAGTCCTATATATACGACGCTACAAAACCACACAAGGTACGTGTAGACCAGTACTCTAAACTATTACTCTGTGGACAAGCTTTACTGACTTGACCGTCGGAGTTATTCCGGGGACGCCAGTCCCGCCATCTTCCTTTCTTTACAGGACCCTCAGCTCGGTTCCCCCTCTCAGGTCGGCTGCGCCTGACCAGCTCGGCTCGCAACAGTTCAGCTCGGATCTGGTTTTTGACTATCGCATCAATAGGTTTACTAAGGTGCTCGTGAGAAGATGGACCAGAAAAGATAGCCTGTGTATGTAAGTTTACTGAGGTTGCTTTCCTGGAAAAAAGAAAAAAACTATAAACAAAAGGTGAATAACAGAATATACATAAGGGTTTATTTTTCAGCAAAGATGGTGATTTTATCAACAATTTATAATAAATACGAGAAATACTACAAATTATGTAACAGGTGCGTGCATATATATGACATCTGTATATATGAGCAAATCATAAAAAGTCAAGTAATAGCATATCCATTCGACGAAGACTACAGATCCAAGATACAAGTATACAAACTAGGAAATTAGCTGTAATTTGTTTTTTTGTGCTTGAAAAAAAAAAGAGGTTTTCAGTGTAATACGAGGCGATAAAATCAACAAAAGTGAGAAGGGCGACAGGGGATGGATAGCATATCTTCCTTTCTTCGGGACAAATTCAATGGAACCCATATCGTAAAAAGTTGGAACCGCCGCTTGGCATTGCCAACAATGCAAGTTATCATACTAATAATACTAATAGATGCATTCATTCTATTAAGTGTAATTAAAAGTATTCCAATCGCCAGAGTCGAATCTGATTCCTCAGATGGCGCATATCTTTACTGTTTAATTTTACTTCCAACCTAGTAAATATCCATGTGATGAAGCGCCAAATTAGGAATTTTATCCACTATCCTCCCCATAAATAAACATAGAACTGATTAACTAAATTCACTAATACCAAGGTTTACAAGTTGTAACATTCATTTTTTGTTTTTTTTATTGTATTGAAGCTACAAGTTGTAGCATGCTAACTCTTGACTTCCTCATAGTTGCAAAATTTTAATAATTGATTCTTCTCAGTGACACAAGGTGGAAGGTCACATGAAGCTTAAGCTTTGAATGGGTCTTTACTTTGATGGAGTATTTATTTATGATGGCTATAGATGGTAGACAATGGAATATGCCCTTGGCATTCATATTGGTAACGTCTCTATGTTGCCAACCACATAATAACTTCCTGTTGAGTTCAGACATCTGCAGTACGATTTTTTTTTTTTTTTTTTTTTTGTGGGAGAGAAAAATATTATTGAGTTCAAACTCTTGTGTTTGGATTGCATTTTCCGTCATTTTTCATGAAAAAATTACTGTAACGATTTGATATATGTGAGGAAAAAAGGTGATAGGAAAATGTGATCACGGAAAACGACAATATTTTCCGACGGAAACAAGCAATCCAAACAGGACAATCGGCTATTTGCTCCGCGACGATGATCATCGAAATTGAATCTATCCAAATTTTTACTTCAATGATTTTTTTTTGTTAATGACCATGCTCAAAGAATATACATTTGGGCAATCATGTTGAGTTTGCAATTTTCCCTCAGAAGATACAAACTATCAACTTGCTTGTTTTCTGTAATTCCATACAGATATGAGGAAATAATTACTATAGCACTTTTTGTGATGTGATGTATATGAAAATAAAAAAAATAATTAAAAATATAAAAAGATGGATTGCAAAAATGTGTTTATGATACAAGCGAAACATTATTTGGAATAATTTAGCAATCCAAACACGCTTACATCAGTTGTGAAGGATAGTTCTCTCTTGTACATTTCATCTAATAATATAATGCGGTGCATATAATTTTCAAGTCAATTCAACGAGGCTAGAGACGAAGAGCCCCAATACTTCACGAAATTCCCATGTGTAAAGAACTGAATTGCTCCAGCCTGCATTCATCGGATGGTATGGTGTGGAAACTAGGGGTGCAAACGAGTCGAGTCGAGTCGAGTTTTGGCCTTATCGAGTCGAGTCTTAACTTAATTTCATCGAACTCGAGCTCGAACTCGACGAGCTGGTAATTTTCAAGCTCGAGCTCGAGCTCGAAAAAAATAAAAAATAATTATTTTATTTTTAAAAAAATTAATAAAATAATATTTTTTCTTAATAAATAATAAAATATTAAGGATATTTATGTAATTTTACTATTAAAAATAAAAATAAAAAAATAAATATATATATACTCGAGCTCGCGAGCCGGCTCGCGAGCTAACGAGCTTAATGTTTTGAGCTCGAGCTCGAGCTCGAATCGAGCCGCTCGATTCGTTTGCACCCCTAGTGGAAACAAAAGGTTAAGTTGAGCAAGGAAAGAGAACACCGCTTTGAATATGGAGGGGAAGGGCGGGGGGGCCCTAAAGTGATTGAGAACAACTTTGAAGACAAGGTAGGGAGGGAGGGAGACTGTCTCATTGCTTAATAGCTGGACACTTTCTCTCGTGTTCCCATTTCATGTTATCTTGGCTTTAAATTTTTGTCAACATATCCCAATCATGTCGTGCAACAATACCCACCCGCAGCCAAAAAGATTTGATAAAACTAGTCCTCCCATCCCATGTGTCCAACCATACTTTTTTAACTAACGAGGAGAGCTTCTAACGCACAATTGTATGATTTAGAATCGTTGCATCTAATTAATGCACAAAAAAAAAATACCAGATGACGGTAAGCGAGTTCATATTTCCGATGAGGTTACTATTCTTCCGATAGATCGGGGAGGGAGAACCCAAAAAAACAAAAAAAAACACCCCTCTCAAGATCACCAAAGATCTACTAGAGAAAGTTGAGTGGCAACATAAAGAAAACAACTGTTTGTCATTCATCTCGCATTACTAGTCAGAGACTCGCGGCCATACATACAATAATATCTCAATCACACCCAAAATTGTTCCAATTTAGGAACGAACCCACAACAATATCAAGAAAACATGAACTGTAGAATTGAACCCGAAGAAAAATAGTCTTGTGTATAATATCTATAAAATTCCACCAATATCAATTGATCCCAATATTTTTTTTTTCTTTTTTTTGTTTTCCTCCCAACTAATCAATCTGTACATAGCTATCAAAGAATCTCTGAATCACCATGCTGGAAAAAGGGGAAAAAAAAATCGAAAATGCCAAAAAAAAATGTGGGAAAAAAAATCAAATCAAATAATTGGAATATCCAATCGAATTCATCCCCTGCTGTAGCTGTTGATGTAGCTTCACCCTTCTCTGTTGATTCGGCTTGTATAAATCATGAGGCTCCCATAAATAATCCAAAGGACAAGGTTTCTTCTCATCGAGTCTCGCCCATGGTTTACCCTTCCCACTCCAGTGCAACAGGCTCACCGGACCAGGATGGAGAGGCCTGCAAGAGCCCTTGACATTGTCCCCGCCTAGCCCATGCTGGTTCCACCTGTGATCAATGGGCTCCACATTCCCACCAAACACTAGCAAGAACGGCGGCAATGACCCCAGCTCATATATCCTCTTCTTCTTCTGCACTTCCATCCAGTTCTCTATTTTCCTTCTGTAGTTACCTCCCCTCCATTTGACCAAATCCATCACCATTACCCCCGTGTTAAAATAACACGGGTTCTTGGACCCGAATATCCGGGATAGAACCGGATCGGACCAGAAATAATCCGTGAAATACTTCGTAAAATTCGCGTGGCAGTACTCCGGCGCTCCAATAACCCGAGATTCACTTAGCTGAACGTCCCACAGCTTCTTTACGTCATCCACGACAACCACGTCCGAATCCAAATAAATAACCCGCTTCACACACGGATCGATCAT